TAAAGGAAAGTCTTCAAACTGAAAAAAAGAGATGCTAATAAGTAGGAAGAAAATATCAGAAGATATAAAACTTACCGGTAAAGAGTAGTTACACAGGGGCCGGCACTGTGGTGCAGTGGATTAAGCTCTTGCCTGTGATGCCAGCATCCCATACTGGGAGCAGTTCAAATCCTGGATGCTCCACTTATCCATCTCCCTGCTAATGCTCCTAGCAAAGCAGCACAGGATGGCCCAATGGGCCCCTACCACCCATTTGGGAGACCTGGATGGAGTTCCAATCTTCTGGCTTCAGCCTGGCCTAGCCCAGCCCTGGCTGTTGTGACCATTTAGGGAGTGAACCAGTGAATGGAAGATCTCTGTTTGTCTCTACCTCTCTGTAATTCTGCCTTTCAAATAAATAAATATTTTTTTAAAAAAGAGTAGTTGCAAATTCTAAAGGTTCTAACATAGTAAACATAGTGTGTAATCCATTCACAACTTCAGTGTGAAGATTAAAAAGTAAAACAACTAAAAATAACTACATTAATACACAAAGAGACAGGCATTATAGCAAGATCTAAAATGGGTCATTAAAAATTCAAAATGTGGAGTTAAGAACCTGTAAATGATAATGACAATAATACCAACCCGGCGTGAGCCAGACATCACTCAAAGGAAGACCAGGAGGCTGTGATCTTAATGAGAGATGCCAGGACAGCCTGGACTGGGAAGTCAATAATAACACCAGAGCAAACTGCACAGCACAGAGAGAAGGATTTTGAGTGGGCACATAAGTCCAGGAGGAAACAGGCAGGGTCCTCCTGACTCTGACGCTTTCTTCTCCCCCAAAAAGACCAACGCTCAGTTGAAGAGCAGCTGTTGAATCAACTGGGATGTACCACATGGACACACAGCATCCTCATATCAGTCCTGGGACAGTTCTCTGAGCTGAGTGAAGTTTCATTTCCTCATGTAGAGGCTTGATGAAAACGTCCTGTGGGTGAACGAGATGGTGGATTTTGATGATAGGTGTGTTGACACCGTTAGTGGAGATGATCAGTTAGATCCACCAAAGATCATGCTCTCTACAGCGTGTCAAGGCAGCATCTATCTGGCATAAAAACTGTGTCCCCAATAGCACTTGGGCACAACGCAATGAAGATTGGACTTTGAAATTCTGTGAGTGCTGTAACAAAACTAGGAAAACATAAAACAGATCACTGTTGATGTACAGTGCAAATGCAGAGCTGCTTTGCCCACATGTCTGTATATTCCACAAAAGATGCCAATGCAAATTTTGGCAAGCTCCACAAAATCTATAACTTCTTATCATAGAAACATAAACATACTACTAGTGTGCCCCGCACACTTTGTCCGTAGCACCGCTAAAGTGTGGCATGATCCTGAAGCTTTCATGTGGAAAGTGCCCACTTCTCAATTGCCTCAAAATGTGTAGGGTATGTAACGAGGCTTCTGACTTTAGAGGAATGAGATGAGTTTGCCAAATGCCTAGAACGTGGCTCTCACTCCTCCTGGCCATGGACACGTGCTAACATGTGGCCTGCCAGTGAGTCACAGCTTCAATGTGTGGGACTGAACATGTATCATTCTGTAATTTGGAAATACATCCAGGAAGAAAATAGAGAAAGGGAAACATTGAGAGGCTGACTGCTGCTCCTTCAAGCTCTCTGATGGCCTGCGGAAGTCAACACGGAAGCTGGAAGAGGATGAACTGATCACATGTCAGTGCTGAAAGTCCTGTGCAGGCTGGCAGGAATCCATGGTGAGGAAAACTGTCTCGGATTTTGGACCTAGGCCAACCTCTGAACTCAGAAATGTGTCCCCAGGGGAGAGCAGCTCTGTAAAGCTAGCCTTTCTTGTTTCTTCAATAAACTGTAGTGTATTTGGAATGCAGTTCAAATTTCCCTGTGCTTTAGGAGAGTGCTTTACCACTGTTTTCTGAAGAAGAGAGGTTTAACGTGGGCTAACATTCCTCGTGCTTTGGAGTGTTTGAAGATGCTGTCACTTTAGACAGGCAGAGCCTGTGGACTGAGTCTGCAGATGCCCAGGACCTGACTGACAAGCAGCTGGTCTACCAGGGCAGTCAGCAGACACAATGTGGATGGGCAGTGCTGGAGAGCTATGATCTGCAAATCAAGAAACTGGCTGTGATTAGCAAGTAAAAGTCGCAGCATAGCATGTTTTAACCCTGAGTGGAGAGGATACTTTTTGGCACAACAGGTTTCAGCATCATGGAAATTTGTAAGAGCACTGCTGAAAGGTAAAGTGAACACAACGTCACCATGTTCGGTTCTGTCACTCCCTACGAGGAAAAGTATATTTGTCTAGGCAGGGGCTTGAGCACTGAATTTTTAGACAAGTAAATGGAAAAGGCAAAAATTTTAGTGTGTCTTACGATGGAAAAAAGACTGATATTGATTTAATTAAATATATAGTATCTTCCTCGACTGTATTGTGCTTATATTTGTATTGAAAACAGCTTATGTGTTCAATAATACAGTGTTTTGTATATTAAGAAAACACAATAAAATATCTAAAAATTCAAATTACTTCTTCTGGTGTAAAATATTAAAGTAAATGTGTTGTATCAGATATAGAAAGAAATACTGTTATACATTCTCATACATATTCTTCAATAAGTCCTAAAAATTAACACAAGAAATTGCCACTGTTAAGTAACCCTGGTGTCAATTTGCTTAAATAATAGTAATTTTACATAAAGAAACCTTATTTTTGTGGGTGTGTATACATTTAGCTTTATTGTAACAAAGCAATTTGTACACTTTCAGCATTTAAACCTGAACATCTTTCTCTTCCAGTGGAACAAATTTAAAAATATCAGGAACAAAATTACAATAGAGACTGTCAGTAAGATTCATAAATACTTTAAATATGCATCTATTTAAAAGTGCTTGTGGGGCCGGTGCTGTGGCCTAGTGGGTAAAGCCACTGCCTGCAGTGCTGGCATCCCATATGGGCGCTGGTTCGAGCCCCAACTGCTCCACTTTCGATCCAGCTCTCTGTTATGGCCTGGGAAAGCAGTAGAACATGTCCTAAGACCTTGGACCCCTGCACCCACATATTAGACCCAAAGGAAGTTCCTGTCTCCTGGCTTTGGATCAGCACAGCACCAACCATTGCAGCCAGTTGGGGAATGAACCAGCGAATGGAAGACCTCTCTCCCTCCCTCTCTGCCTCTCCTTCTCTCTGTGTAACTCTTTCAAATAAATAAATAATTTTTTTAAAAAAAAAGTGCTTGTGAAAAGAGTTAACATGTATGTATGATTATTAGTTACACATTTATTCTCTCACATATATTTGGGTGGGTGTGTGTGTGTGTTTCTGCTTGTCAGCTGGATTTGGTCCTGGGTTAGGGCTCTAAAAATGTTAGTCTCCAGCACTAGAGGAAATACTAAGAATTTTGACTTTCTGTGGCACAATCATTGCCAAAGTTCCCCTCCTAAGATCAGGTAAGTAGGGAAAGGTGCGGGTGCACGGTCCTGAGGGAGGGGGGCACAGTGCAATGGGGCATGGCTGGCAGCAGGAAGAGGTGGGGTAACCACGGCACCACATCCTCTGTGTCCTCCCCTCTCAGCACTGGCTTGGGGCTGAATTGGAATATTGAAAACAGAAAAGAGCATCTTTCAAAGTTCCCATGAAGCCAGAAAGAGGGGTCTAACCTGTACCAATGCTGATTTGATCAGGTCAGTGCACAAGTGTGAATTTGTGGCTTTGTGAGGAGTGTTTGCAGGTGAGTGACCAGAAGCAGAGGAAGGTTGAGAGGAGCTTGATGCTCCAACACTGCTAACAGAGCACATTCAAGAAAGAGTCAGCACACTGGAAGAAAATCTTTATTAAGAGTCAGACAGCTGGGGCCAGCGCCGTGGAACCACAGGTTAAGCTGCCGCCTGCAGACCCCGCATCTCCTATGGGCTATATGTGCTGGTTCAAGTCCCAGCTGCTCCACTTCCAATCCAGCTCCCTGCTAATGTGCCTGGAAAAGGAGCGGAGGATGGCCTGAGTTCCTGGGCCATTGCACCCATGTGGGAGATCCAGAAGAAGCTTCTGTCCAGCCCAGTCCTAGTTCTTGTGGCCATTTGGGGAGTGAACCAGCAGATTTCTCTTTCTTTCTGTCTCTCCTTCTCTCTTTGTAACTCTGACTCTCAAATAAATAATAAATCTTAAAAAAAAAAGAGCCAGACAGTTGCCCTAAGGTATCAGTGCTGCCTCAGACACAGCATCTGTTGCCAAGCTATGCCAGAGAGATTTATTTTTCCTGGAACTAGGAGAGAAACCTGAAGATTCTGGTGAATATTACAGGATGCTCCAGAAGACACATTTTTCCACACTAACGTTCCCTTGGAGTTGTCTGGCACACAAAGAGAAGGCTCAGCTAACACTCCTCTGGCTTCCCCACTGTGAGCTCATTTTCTTCCTGTTCCTCCCAGACCCTCCTCTTAGGATCCCTGTGTTCAAAGGGGAGGAGACTAAAGTGCTCACCATTCATCTTGGCTCTGAGTGGGAGAAAAGTCGGCAGTTCTCTGGGGTGCACCTGCAGGTGAACCTGAAGACCCAGATGCAGGTCTCCCACAGGGATGGTAGGGATTCAAGCACTTGGGCCAACTTTTGCTACTTTTCTCAGACTATTAGTAGGGAGCTGGATTAAAAGCAGAGTAGCCAGGACATGAACCAGTGCCCATCTACACCACAATGCCAGTCTCAATGGGAGCAATTTCTTGTATTGAATGTTAGGATTAATTAAAGACTTAATATGCGAGAGAAAGTAACAGTATTTTATAATGTGTCTATCATTTAATATACTTTATTTTCATAAGTTATTCCTCCATGAAGAACTTAAATTTTGTCAAGTTGTATCTTCTTAATATACAGAAAACTGTGGATTATTACACAAATATAAGATATTTTCTTATGTAAGCATAGCATATAGTTAATTAAGATAGTATCTACAGTTAATTAAATAACAATATCACAGTATTCTATCTCGTGATACACTAGAAAAGTTTTGCTTTTCCATTTCCTTGTTCAATAATTCAATGCTAAAATACATGCCTAGACAAATTTTTTCCTCAAAGGTAGTGAGAAAACTGAACACAGTTAAGAGTCAGATTCACTTTGACTTGCAGCAATGCTCTTACCAAGCCCTGTTACAGGCAATCCCACCATCACAGGATATCCTCTCAACTAAAGGGTCAGAACATGCAATGCTTAGGCTTTTACTTGCTAATTACAGCTGGTTTTTCACTTGCAGATCACAGCTCTCCAGCACTGCCCATCTACCTTGTGTCTGCAGACTACCCTGGTAGACCAGTTGCTTGTCAGTCAGGTTCTGGGCATCTGCAGATTCACTCTACAGGTTCTGTATCTTCAAACACTCCAAAGCACATGGAATTTTACTGTATGTGAAAACAGTGGCCGTAAAGCAGAGGAAGAATTTAAACTGTATCCTGAATAAACTACAGTTTACAGAACAAATAAGAAAGGCTTGTTTCTCACGGCTGCCCTCTCCTGGTGACACATTTTTTAGACCACAGGCAGACTTTGTCCCGGCATGGGCCTTTGCCAACCTGCCTACAGTACTAAGCGCAGATGCAGTCAGTTCATCCTCTTGCAGGTTTTGTTGACTCTTCCAGATCATCAGAGAGTTAGAAGGAACAGCAATCACTCTCTCGGTATTTCCCTTTCTCTATTCTCTCCCTTGACGAAAGCATTTGGCAGGCTCATCTCATTCCTTTAAAGTCAGAAGCCTCATTAGGTTCCCTTCACATTCTAAGAGAAGTGGGCACCTGTGTGCCTACCTGCCAATCAGAGTAATTAACCACTCCACTTTGGAAGTGGATTAAAGGCCTGGAACACAGTGGGCCTGCCCCTTCGTCCCCGTGCCTTCGGGGCATGTGGCCTTCCCAGCCTTCGGGCCACCCACTCTGTGTTTTCTGGTCTGCATGCTCTCCACATGGATGGCTCCTAATGCCCGGTATGGATTCAGATCTCCCTCTCTCTTTTAGGTAGGTCCCTCACTCTCCTATGCATTTCTTTCACTAAATAAAAAGCTTAAAAACTTAAAGAAAGAGAGAAAAGTGGTCATTTTTCATGGGAAAGCTTCAAAATCACAAGTAAACACATCAATCCACGCTGTAGCAGTGCTGTGGACGAAGTGTGCAGGGCACATACATGTTATCATTATGTTCTGTGGTAAGAAGTTCATGGACTGGGTGGAGCTTGCCAAAATTTACATTTGCATCTTCTGTGGAATATATAGACATGTGGCCAAAGCAATATTACATTTGGGGTATTTGATCTATTTTTATCTTTTCCATAGTTTATTAAAATTTCCATTGAATTTCAAACTCAAATTTTCATTGCATATTCCAAAGTGCTATTCAGGGCACATTTTAAATGCCAAATCGATGCATGACTTGACATGCTGTAGAGAGCATGGTTTTTTGTGACATCTAATTGGATTATGTCCACTGAAAGTTGTCAACACATCTGTCTTCAAAATCTACCATCTTGTTCACCCACAGAACATTTTTATCACAGTGTCTACTTGAGGAAATGAAACTGCTCAGCTCAGAGAACTGTACGGGGGTGCTGTGTGTCTATGTGGTACACTTGTCTACATGTTGTATGGTTTGCTCTTGTTTCATTATTGACTTCCCAATCCAAGTTGTGCTTGCATCTCTCATTGACATAACACAGTCTTCTGGTCTTCTTTTGAGTGATGTCTGACTTGTGCTGGTATTGGCATTTTTGTCATTATCATTGTCATCTTCTTAGCTCTTAATATGGTCACCAATTTCATAATGATAAAATTAAGCACTATCTCAACACAAAGCAGAAACGTTAATCCACAAACAAGTTCAAAACAGTCTATAATATATACAATTAAAAAGTATTTGTGGGGCCGGCGCAGTGGCAGAGTGGGTTAAAGCCCCCTGGCTTACAGCGCTGGCATCCCATATGGGCGTCGGTTCGAGTCCTGATTGTTCCACTTCTAATCCATCTCCCTCCTAATGCACCTGGGAAATCATCAGTGGATGGCTTGAGTCCTTGGGCCCCTGCACCCATGTGGGAGACCTGGAAGAAGCTCCTGGCTCCTAGCTTCAGATCGGCACAGCTCCAGCCATTGTAGCCATCTGGGGAGTGAACCAACGGTTGGAAGACCAGACCTTTCTCTCTGTGTCGCTACCTCTCTCTGTAACTCTGTCTTTCAAATAAATAAAAATAAATCTTTTTTAAAAAAGTATCTATGAGGGTAGCCATTTGGCCTTGTGACTAAGTTACCAGTTGGAAGCCTACATCACTCACTGGAGTACCTGGGTTTGATATTCAGCTCCAGTTTTTGATTCCAGCTTCCTATTAATGCAGAGCCTGGGAGGCAGCAGATGAAGGCTCAAGCAGTTGAGTTCCATCATATGAGAGACTTGGATTGAATCTCCAGCTCCCAGCTTCACCCTTGGTGCAACCAGAGCTATTGTGGACATTTGGCAATTGAGTTACTTAATGGGAGAATCCTCTCCCCCCACCTACTAAATAAATAAAATGTAAAAGTATCTGTGTTGCCCAGTCTCAGCACACACATCAATGCCACAAATCACAGCCACTATGATTTGTTTTCAGGGCAAAAATAGCCACAGTGAATATGGAAGGTGATCATCTATGCATAAATACTGACATCAAGCACTGTGCTTCCAACTGGGCAGCTACAGACTTTTTTATACTTTCCTTCAATCTTCACACCAACCAATAAAGCTGGGAGTTTGTGCTTCCTTGCAGAGTTCCTAGAAGCAGAGCATTCAATGCGAACACCATGACAGTCCTGGGCAAACCTTTCCAACTAGAGACATCTTTGCATCCAGTGCCCTTCTCATTTCATTTAGGGGCTGAAAGCAGTTGTGGATTCGTTAGAATAAAACACACAAGAAAAACTTGCAATTCCACAGCTAAGGCAGACAACTCTGGTCGCAGAATGCACTCTGCCAGCGTACAGAAGCAGAGAAAGTAAATAGAGGTCATGAGAGAGAGTGCAGGTAAGGATCTGGGAAAGGAGGAGACTAAGAGGAAGAGAGTGAGTATTCAGGGTGCAGGGCCAGGGGATGGGGGAACCTCAAGAGATCATAGGTAGCTCAGGATAGACTGTGACAGCTCAGGGAAACTTCTCTAACACAAAAAAAGATGATAAAACTCTCAACTGTACATAAAATCAGCCAAACCATCCATGAGTGGCTATAAGATTTAGGTGGCATTATACCAAGAGTGATCATAGCCTCATCCCTTCTCTGCAGCCCTGATGGAAACAGGCTCCCACCAGGTCTCTCTGGCCCATTTCCTCATCTCACTCTGATTTCTAATCTTCTAGTCTCTTTCCCTCCTTATCCTGAAAGCTCAGAGTTTTAGGACAATACATCAGGGGGTAAGGGGGAAGGTGTTCAGATTCTGTTAGGAACTCTTATACCCAGAAGCAAGCCAGACAGACTATTTGGGGACTATTCGTTGTGTATCCAAAAAGCTGCTGTGGGATATTTACTATGTGCCTAATTCAGAATAGGGGAGAAAGAAGGCAAAGTTGTCTTCCCCAAAAGCTCCTCATGTTTGGTCTTAGAAAGCAACCCCATCTGGAAGCAAGCAGGATCCTGGGATCTCAAATATTTTGGACAAAGAGGCAATCATGGTGGGTTAGAGAGAGTATTTTCCAGGTCTTCTGAAGAGTGTTACACAGAACACAGATCCTTTTCTGCTTAACATATATGTGAAGCTTGTTTGATAAAGAATAGCACTGAACTCCTCATGTTTACAAAAACATTGATAGGGAGAAGGTTTGGTTATGATGCAAGGCCATCATGCTACCTACAGAACCCATGATCCTCATCTCCAAGTGTAGCAATCTCTACAAAAGGTACTCTTCACCATCCATGTCCAAGTCAGACTCTCCCAGCATTAAACATCCTGCGTCCTGCCCCCAGGCCTGTCCTCTGTGTTATGAACACAGAGATGCAGAGCAACCTTTCTCTTTCAGGAGAGATCAAATGGGGCAGAGAGGTCAGACTCCTGGCTCTACATGGCAGCCGTTAAGTTCCTACAATGTCAAATAGGCCTGAGATACTGTGGGGTTTTCATGGTGCGAGATAACACCATGATGACTGTGGCTTATTGTCATTAAGGGGATGAACAGCAGGGTTTTTGGTCTTCCTGGGAATTTCCATCACTGGCCAAGAGACCAGAGTTCAGGAAGGCCCCTATGAATGTATGGTAAAAGGCTAATAAGGACACACAAGAGACTCTCCAAGCTCATCCAAAATAGAGGATTTGAGTGTATAGGAGAAGGGCTGGGTAACAGGGTGAACTGCTGTTGACCCAGGCCTAGTTCACCTGTGCACAGCAAAGGACAGGAATATGCACATTCAGACCAAGGCAGGACACAATTGCTCATCCCCTCCTCCCAATTTGACTCAGCATCTGGTCTACCTTGCTGAAACTTGAGCCTGCCTTTAGAGACTGACTTGTAGCTATTCTGACTAACCCTGTCCACCTTCTTTACAACATAATAACTGTAACCTTGGGCATCCACAACATCAACAAAAAGGAAACCACTTTTCAAGTCACTGTCATCTCAAACCCACTCTCCACAAGGACCATAATAATAAGTGAAAGGTCAACACACCATGTACTGAAGCACCATCCTACTGACCTCTGCTATGCACACAAAGGTTACTGGGGAGCATCCCTCTTATTGAGAACCTCAGTCCCACCACCACTCCTGTAGTTGGCTGATCTCCTGGACCCAGTGCAACAGAAGGGAGCCTGGGAAGCTCTCCTGGCAGAGGAGGTACAGGAAATCCCACCCCTGTTCTGAGCATCACTACGAAGGCCAGACCAGAATTACCATCTGTCGCCTTTAGGACCAGCTGCTATGTAAGGCTCAATTCAATGCAGTTGTGAAGACCATTGCTCCACAAGCTTAGCAAGTATGTTGTCACACCACAGCAAGTGGGTCTGGAAGTACAGATTGAACAGAAGTGCAGGCAGTCTTCCTAAGCTACACAAGTCCATCTAGCTGTGTGTTGGGGACCCTAAAGACAAGAAGGCTACTGAAAGTGTAAGGAGATGGGCACCTTCACAGCCTTGCCCCAGGAGTAGAGTGATGCTGAGGATACAAGGCCAGGACTGCACCCTACCCCACAGCCACTGCTAGGTCTGAGTCATTCTGTGGATAGAAGTACCCTTTTTCAGCCTGTTGACCTCCTAGGATCATACCAAGTCCCTGGAGCTGAGAAGGGGCTCAGGGGCTTCTTAACTTTTGTTAAGATGGAGACAGACTTTTTAAACACTATTGGCTCCACTTTATAAAATTAAAACAAATAGAGCATTGGGACAAGCAGTAGTGGATGCTGTTAGAGGAATGGTGTAAGAAAAATCAACCACAAAGAAAAGCAAAACAAGAGAAAGCATCACACATCAGTTCATGCCTAAAGATTATACTATCACATTCAGCACTGTTTTATAACCATTGAGGGAATTCCTAACAGGTGACACTTATTTGTAGAAGATGGAATAAGGAAGGCAGAAACCCATTGTTGCTTTGAACAAATTTTCTTATTAACAAAATAAAGAGCCATTCTTTTATTTTGGAGGATGTTTCTGAAGCATTAACTTTATTCTGCCTAAAAGACATCCCAGAGATGCATCACTTGTATTGTTAGTACAATGTCCCTAGGAATGAAACAGATGGTTGACTGAAAAAGTACTGCTGACACACATAAACAAAGTAATTCTAAAACTAGAGGCAGAAATCTAAGCGAAGACAACATGTCCTTATCTCTAAGTCAATTAAAAGATCCAGACTGTCTCAAGTGAGGCAGAAATAAGGGCACAGGCATTCAAGGGGCACAGGTATATCCTATAAATTTTCTCCACACTGACTACAGAGAAGTCTGTAGGTATTTGCCAGGGTGAATGCACAGACAAAAAGGAAAACTGAGTCCTTCTAAGGGTTATTAAATATGGGTTCAGAACTCTTCCTGGTCATAGCCACCATATGCCCTGGGTCAGAGAGCAGGCTAATAGAGATGAGAAGATGTTTTATTTTCCTCTTGTTACTGCATCTAATTGACTTAAAACAGCACAAGGAGGGAACAGAGCTATGGTATAGTAAGCTAAGTCTCCGCCTTCAGTACCAGCATCCCATATGGGCACCAGTTCATGTCCTAGCTGCTCCTTTTCCAAACCAGTTCCCTGCTGATGGCCTGGGAAGGCAGTGGAAGATGGCCCAAGTTCTTGGGCCCCTGTACCCACAAGGGAGACCCAGAAGAAGCTCCTGGCTCCTGGTTTTGGATCAGCTCAACTCTGGCCATTTAGAGAGTGAACCAGCAGATGAAAGATCAGTCTCTCCCTCTCTCTGTCTCTAACTCTGCCTCTCAACTAAATAAATAAATTAAAAAAAAAACACACACACCCATACACAAGTGTATTATTCTAAAGTTCTAGAGCTCAGAAACCCAAAATCAGACTCAGGAGGCTGAAGTCAATCCTTCCCCAGAGCTCTAGACACACTGCCCACCACATGGGCTCAGTCCAGCTCTCATGCTAGCCCAGCCCTGGGATTAGAGACTAATTACTTCCCAGCCACTCAGTGGCCTCAACCTCTTTGTAACTTACTTCTTCTCAAGGAATCCACAGCTTGGCTCCCAGGATAAGACTCTCTTGCCAACCACTGGACCATTGCCCCCTTTGGAGTTAAAGATTCTCTCTATAGGATGACAGGAAGGTTAGGCTCCTACCATTGGTACTTAAATAAATATTGAGCAACTAGCAAAGATCAGGCCCTGTTCTGGACACTGGAGACTTGGCAGTGCATGAAGTAAGGCATGATCCCTGCCCCACTGGGATGTACTTGATCTGAAAGTCACAGGTGCAGGTCCCATGTGCTGGGAGTCCTATAAGGCCTACACTTGGGTTAGATGTCAACTGAAATTTAAGATCTTCTAATTCTAGAGCAGTAAACATCTCTCTCAATTGTAAAACACACAACTGTACACTTAACACTGTAATTAGCACAATAATCCCAGAAGTGGATTTTGTTGCCCCTGGAATGCAAGGTCATTTTTTATTTAGCCTCTTGTTCAATGGCTGTGCTCTCTGGAGCCCCAGAAATGGAAAGGGAGAGAACAGTAAGTGAGCTGCCATAGGTCCCCGAGTCACTCACTTGAATTGAACGAGAACATCTCTGTCTTTTTAAGGTATAGGCAGAATATAAAACTCCCTGGTCTTAAATGTAAACTGGTACAACCATGATGGAAGACAATATACAGATTCCTCAGAAGTGTAAAAATAGACCTACCACATAACCCAGCCATCTCACTCCTGAGAATCTACCCAAAGGAAATGAAATCAGCATATGAAAGAGTTACCTGTACTTCCATGTTTATAGCAGTTCAACTCAGAATAGCTAAGATATGGAATCAACCCAGATGTCCATCAACAGATGACTGGATAAAGAAAATGTAGTACATATACATAATGGAATACTACTCAGCTGTAAAAAGTAATGAAATTCTATCTTTCTCAACAAAATGAATGCAACTAGAGACCATTATACTTAGTGAAATAAGCCAGATACAAAAGGATAAATATCATTTGTGGCCTTTGATTGTGGTAGCTAATATTACAGCACAAAAATATTTAATGTGCATAAGTGAAATTTACATCTTTGGAATTGATTGTAGTTTATAGCCTTGCCTATATTCCTGCTGAGCAGTGGTCTTTCTACTTTTGACTTATTTAACTCTTTATTTAGTGGAGCATTAAGCCTGTGATTATAAAGCAAATTAAAATATATCATGAATAGAAAAAATAAAGGAAGAAAGATAATTATATTCTTAGAACTGTATCTATGAACTACATAAAATCTGTCTTCTTTATATTAATAAAAACCTAAATAAATAAAATTCCCCAATCTTAAAAAGTAGACATTTTGAAGTCCACTGGTAGAGAACCATTTCGTTCTTTGGAATAGGAAGAAACCGAGGCTCAGGCTGGGAAGTGACTCCATGAGGTCTTTCAGCAAGTTACCCCCAGAGCCAAGAGGGGAGCCTTGGTCTCTCAGCTGCTAGGCGAATGCTTATCCAACCAGGAGATGTAACTCCTAAGGCATCAAGAGGCCTTATAGTTCACCCAGCCATGTCCTTCCCTGTGGGGAGCAACTCGGACTAGACTGTTACTGGAATTAAGACTTATTCTATGCATCTGCTCTCCCACAATATGGCGCTGAGAAGGGAGTAACAACTTCTACGCAGCTGCCTCTCACCAACTTGAGTGATGACCTGCAGGAGCTGATCCTGCTCCTGATTGGAGGAGAGCAGCGTACTCGGCGTGTGGTTAGCAGAGTTGGGATTGTCAGAAGAGGACTATAAAGGAGGAGAGAGACAACATGCACCGGGAACATCTATCTGAAGGAACATCTGAGCAGCCCCCAAGAGAGCCGGCTGGCGGTGTGCCGCTCCCCCACGGAAGTGGGGAAAGTGGCAGGGGGAACCGCCCTTCCACAGAGGTGGAAGGGACGGTAGCCAACCCGGGAAGGGCCGAGCAAACAAAAGAACAACGCAGGGTCCTGTGTCGTTCCTCCACGAAGAGGGGGAGCGACACTTCCCCACCAGCATGCATCACAGCCTCCATGTCCAAGCGACCACCTGGCTGGCTACTCTGGTGCCATCTGGACAGAGACCACAGAATTCAACTTCTTCTCTTTTACACCCTACATTAAACCACATGTACAAACAACACATGTGCCACCTGGTAGTCCAGACAGTGCTTAAAGATATTTTTTCATGCACCTGCTCCACCCCAACCCAGACTAATTCTACTGAGTTCTGGTTAAATACTTCCACTCCCTCCTCTGTCAGTTATTCATCTGTCCTGCATGAGACATCTGGGAGTCCATTCACCACACAAGACCCTCTCCTCTGGAAATTCTCCTAAGGCTGCAGCTGGAGCCCTAAAAACAAGTTCCCCTAAATCCTATACAACTGGTGCTGAAATAAACTCTGACAGGCAATGAAGCCAAGATTACTGGGGAAAAGGCCCAATGGGAGCTCAGGTGAGGGTCAAGCCCAAGAATGAGATAAGGGGCCCAATCTTCCTAACACAGTCACCATTCTCCTCAGGGAAGATGAGGCAGCCTAAGATCACTCTTATCTTGGGATCATTCTTTGTTTCCTTTGGGGGAAAAGTGACTTCTTTATCAGCTCTCTGAAACAGCTGGTTGAGAGGACAGAGATAGAGCACTTCCATTCAAATCTAAACCTTCTGTGATCTTGATGGTTTTAACAATAAGAAAGTGATGAACTTGAAACAACCAACAGCCTTAACTAGTTTTCTTCTCATTCCAAGTTACTCCCAGGAATCTCCTCAATTCAAGTAGCCTGGAAAAAAAAAGTTCATCATTCACACTCTGAGATTCACTAAATGCAAATCATTCTCTAGTCAGTATGTCACAATCTCCAACAGGACTAACTCCCCCATCATTGTTCCCTAAAAAATGTCCAGACTTTACACACTCAACCCCACTGGCTAGTATACCTGCAGGCACAGGTCTAAAGGGCACTTCACTTACCTTGTGGAGGTTCAAAAGAGAAAAAAAGAAAAGGAGGGGGGGCGTGAAGTTAGTTACCCACAACCACCAGCCAACACAAAGCTCTCTTGTTCCTAGGTCCTAGTCTGGTCAAGGTCCTGAAAGCTAGTCCTGCTTGTGTCTTATTTATGTCATCATTTGTCTCCCTTTCTCAGCAGATTTTAGACACTGTTTTGGAGAATTGGGGCCTGGGTTCTAAATTCTTGCCATGTGCCTTCTGTCTTACTCTGGATTCCCCACCCTAATGCTGGTTCACCTTCTTCCCATATCCTAAGCTTGGGGAAAAGGCAATTAACACACTTCAAAAGCCATACTAATCTCCTAACAACTGTAAGGAAGAGCTCCTGGCTACTGCTCATCACCTTCCAACCTCACACAACCCAGGCCAAATCATGAGAATACGGCTGAACATTCTTGCACAGTCAGAGCAATTTCTAAGGCATAAACTCAGCAGTGCAATTCAACCCACAATTGATGAGGTCCTGGGGACTGAAAGATAAATAGGATAAGGCCCCTGATTTTAAAATTTAAATTATGACACAAGCAATAAATACATAACAGGTTATCTATAAAATAATGTAATAAGATACAGCAGGTACAGATATAAATTGTTATGAGGACATGTATTAATCAAATTTTCTTCACTCTAATAAAATACCTGACACAGACTACTTACAAATAAGAGGTTTATTTAGGTTAGTTTTGGAGGTTCTAGAGCCTGGGGCTGATATCAGCTCAGTTCTGGTGACAGCCCCCTGGTGGATGGTGGAAAGTGTGAGAGGACCTGTGACACCCAGCAGTAGAGAAAGGCACACAGAGTTCCTGGACTTTGAGCCTGATATTGTAGCTGAATGGCACTATGAAGCTTTCACCCATGAGGGAGTGATAAGTCTATTTTGTGAATGAAAGAAGGATGGATTGAGTATTTGGTGACCAACAGAGCACTCATGCTTCTAGTTCCTTTGTCTTCTAGGCTCCACTAGGATTTCACTCTTTGAATCCATTATGATCGAGTAGGGCTACCAGAAGTTTTCTTAATGACTCATAGAAAGAAAAAAATAGGAAATACAAAAAAATTAGTATAAGACTCATACAGAAAATGGTGAAAAGTTCTAACATACAATGAAATTGGAAACCTGAAGGGGAAGAAGAACCGTAAAGCAGGAGTAATATCTGAAAGCCTAGAGACCAAGAACTTTTAAAGCTGATACAGTTATGGAATTAAAAAGCAAAAGTGTTGGAGCTGTCACTGTGGTGCAGTAGGTTAATCCTTTGCCTATGGCGCCAGCATCCCATATGGCCACCAGTTCTATTCCTGGCTGCTCCTCTTCCGATCCAGCTCTCTGCTGATGGCCTGGGAAAGCAGAAGATGGTCCAAGTGCTTGGGCCCCTGCACCCACATGGAAGACCCAGAGGAAGATCCTGGCTCCTGGCTCCTGGCTTCAGATCGGCCCAGTTCTGGCCATTGCAGCCATTTGGGGAATGAATCAGCAGATGCAAGAACTTTCTCTCTGTCTCTCCCTCTCACTGTCTTTAACTCTACCTGTCAAATAAATAAAATCTTTAAAAAAATCACCTATTTTGGTGTGTTTGTGTCATTCTTCAATGCAGAGTTGATTTTACAAATGTCTGCCATAGCATATGTTTGTGCAAACAGGGCACAAAGAGGAGTCTCATAAACTGCTGGTGACAGCACAAGTTGGAACAGCGATCTTAGAAATAGATTGGTATTTCCTGTTGGAGTTGACAGTGCGCATATGCGGAGACCCAACGACTGCACTCTTAGTCAAAGGCAATAAAGACTCACGCAAATGTGCACCAGGACAGAAGTTCAAGAATGCACTTACTGGTATTATCCATAGCAACCAAAAACTAGGCCAAAAAACCCACAATGGTCCTTTATCTGTAAAACAGGAGGTAAACTGTGGCATATTCACAAGATGGAAACAATGACCTACACAAAACAGCGTGGGGACATCCCACAAACATAACTTTAAATGAAAGAAGGTACACAAGAATACCTTCATATCATCCAATTTATGCAAATGTTTTAAAGACTAAATTACACTGTCTAGAGGTGCATAAATAGGCAGTAAAAATACAGCTATTTCTCTTTTCAAAAGTCAGGAACCAGATGGATTCAGAAAAGTAAGGGAAGGATCATCACAAAAGTCAGGTTAGGGGTTACTTTCTGTGAGGGTTCAAGGATGTGACCACAAAGCACACTGGCTTCTGAGTCCTGCCTATAGTGTATCTCTTTTTGTTGTTTTTTTTAAGGATGTATTTATTTATTATTTAAAGATTTATTTATTTTTATTTGAAATGCAGTTACAGAATGGGGGGGGCGGGGGTGGAGAGGTCTTCCAACCAATGGTTCACTCCCCAGGTGGCCTCAATGGCTAGAGCCACACCAGTCCGAAGCCAGGAGCCAAGAGTTTCTTCCTGGTCTCCCATGTGGGTGCAGGGGCCCAAGGACTTGGGCCATCTTCTACTGCTTTCCCAGGCCATAGCAGAGAACTGGATCAAAAGGAAGGCAGCTGGGACTTGAACCGGCACCATATGGGATGCTGGCACTGCAGGCAGCAGCTTTGCCCACTATACCACAGTGCTGGCCCCTCTTTTTGTTTTTTAAGATTTATTTTATTTATTCAAAAGGCAAAGTGATAGGGGTGGGGGAAGAGAGAGGGAAAGATAGAGAGAGGTCGTCCATCTGCAAGTTCACTCCCCAGATGGCAGAAACAGTGATGCGCCAGGCCGAAGCAAGAAGCCAGGAACTTCATTCAGGTTTCTGTCGCTCCCTTGCCCGCAAAGGAACGACACTGCTCCCAGCTGATCGGTCTTCAGTAGACTTTTATTTAAACAGGATAGAAAGAGAAACCCTCGAGTAAGGGGAGCTCCGAAAGAAAGGGGAAGCTCCCGTTACTATTTCACGAATGGCTTATATAGTATAACATTGCAGAAGCATGTAATGCAAGCTTAGTCCATGCTACAGTCCATGCGGCGGCACTCCAATCGGGTGCCTGATCACGCACAGTCCATGCGCTCCTTGTCCAACCAGAAAGGTGATCACACGCCTTCATCCAATCAAGCTCCTGGTCACGTAGCAGGCAACTTGGGTGCTAACAACAAGCTTCCACCTGGTGTTTTCTCAGCCTTGGTCAGTGGGAAAAGAAGTACGGGAAGCCCCAAAGCCATAGTTGTTTTGACTCTAGCCTGGGGTTATGGAAAGGTCCCGATATCACAGCTCAACAGAAACCATAAACATCCACACAGCAGTAACTATTGCCAATGGTCAGCAAGCTAAGCCTTAGCATGTGGGCCCATGGCCGGCTCATGGGTCCCCACATCTCCCCCTTTTTTATTTAATTGAGAATGGCCTCTGTCTTAGGTTGCCCTCAGTCATCTCTGTCCTTACCCGTCATCAGTAACTCTGGCAGCTTGGCCTAGAGCCCTGTCTTAGGTTGATACAGGATGCTGAGCGTCTTACCTGTCATTGAGTACCATTCCAGCCCAACATTAGGTGAGAGATGAAACATACAGCCAAATATCAATTATTCTGATTACAAAAGAGGTTTGGTACAAAGTTTTAAATGATGAATTTCAGTCCATACAGACTGTAGCGAAGTCAGTATAAAATGCAGAACACACGGGAAACATCCCATACAAAGTAGGAAAAGCAGCAGTGGTCCAGCCAGCATTAATAACCAATGAATCCATTGAAACCCTCCAAATGAATAGTGGGTTAGTAATAAACATATGTTGCATTTTACTCTTAAGTTTATCAATAACAGTCTCCTTATATGGCACATTGTTAGTAATGTTAAAGCAATGTCCCCCAGGTACAGGTTTACAACTTATATGCTCTTTTAACAGCAAGTAATTGTTAGCTGCATGGCTTAAAAGCACTCCTGAATGAACTTGATCCAATTCTTTGACTATATTGAACAGTCCAGTAGCAGTAGGATTAATTGTTTTGGTCACCAAACATGTAAGCCTTCATAGTCCACGATTATTTCCAAAAGCCAGTCCAGGAACACTTACTACTGATACAGCCATGGCAAGGGCAGTGTCCTCTCCTATTAGGATGATGGTGTTATTGTAGTCTTCAGGTAAAGCACGCCGCCATGCTCTATCCACTGTAAATACAGATGTTAGCATCAGGGCCACACGGCCCAGGGAGAAATTGCAGAAGTTATCAGAGGCTAATGATGTAAAGGCATGTTGGTTACATAGAAAAACCCATCCCTTAGGAGTCCATGTCCCATATCAGTACTGGATCAGGTTCATTCCATTGATTGGTGATAGGATCCCTCCATTTCACCATTGCTCTTTTTACAGCTGTTTTTAAACAGTTAGAATTTAACAGAGACATCAAGAGAACATAATAGATTACTTTAACTTATTGCTTTAACAGAGGATCAGATTTTGATTTTATGTCAAAGAAAATAGACTAATAGTTTTGTAACCAAAAATTTCTTCTTCCCATAACATTTTGCGACTTTCTCACACCTTTTGTAACTTGCTCAAACCTTTCTTTTCTCCCCCCCCCCTTTTTTTTTTCATTTCAGTATAAACCAGCCATTAAGATAAACAATTTTTACAAACCATGTCCTTTTTTTATTTAAAAATATCTTTTCCTTTTAACTTTTCTTATCAAGAACACGTTTTATGTTTGTGACCTTTTACAACAAAATTATGGTGTCTGGGACTGTAGCAGTCAATGGGAAAGTAACTTTGTTCAAATTCCTGTAATTCACAGTCATTTTCCAGGTTTCGCCTGATTTCTTAACA